CCCGGGGCGGCGCGGGGGGGGGGGCTGCACGCTGCCTCCTCCACCCCAGGGGCAGAGCATCCTCCAGAAAGGCTGAACCTCCTCCTTGAGGGTGAAGCCCAGGAGGCAGCAGTGTCTCCTGGGGAGGTTGGGTCATTGATCTGCTGGTGGGAGACCATCTGTGGGCATCAGGGCTCCGGGTCCATGCAGGGATGGGGAGACTCTTGCTCTGAGGGAGAGGACAGGAGGAGGCACTGATTGATGCATCCCTTGGACTTTCTGAGCCTTGAAAATTTTTTTTTTTTTTTTTTTTTTTTTTTGGCAAGTTTAAGACCTAAAAATATGTAAGTCATTTCAATTTGGAAAATCAACACAAAAAAATAGCCAAATTTCACGTTGAATTGGTTACTCAAACATAGTTTCTTGCTGTTGGAGATATTTGACATTGAACTTTGTTTCGTATCACTAAAGAAAAATTTGAAGTAAATAAAGGTGTCAGCTTTCCTTTCTCTTCCATGTAAATCTGCAATTTTAAGTAATGTTGTAACTGGCTATTCCCCATATTTAGATTTCTTTTTCCTAAGTGAGAAAGGCAAGAAAATCAACATATTCACAAAACAGGTTGTCATTGCCACTTCTGACATGACCGCAAGTTGCCAGCATCTTTTTTAATGCTTCATTTGGCTACTTACAGAATTGCTCCAAGTCGTCTCTTTTTTTAGAGTCTGGCATGGCAGTGATCGTGAGCAACGGGCACGGATTTCCTCCTAGCGTCTGGCAGAGCGTCTGCTGCCTCCAGTAAACCTTCTTGGGGTTCCTTTTTTGTTCCAGGATATCAAGATGAGACTGAGAAAGAAGCAAGGAAGCAGATTTATAAATGAGTTCACGGTCTATAAAATCTGATCTTATTCCACTAGCTGCGTGTTATTACTAATTTCATCTCTTGCTAACTTCCCAGCTTCTCTCTTCTGCCAGTTAATATCATCACCTTTTGCATCCCACAAATATGCACAAGCCATTCAGAATATATCCCAGTTTTACCGAAGCTGCAAAGGACTATTACCCTTATATCATTTTACCTGAACAGTTCCTAGGTGCTTTTCTTATTACTGTAAGGGAATTTCTGTGCATACATGAAGTCCAAAAGAGAATTGCCTGCTCCTTATATTTTAATGGAGACTGTGTAGAAACGTGAGAAAAATGACTATTTTTGAGTGTTTGTGGAACTGACTGGTTAGCTGTCAAGCACATGCCAGTGAAACTCAGGAAGAACTCGACACCAGAGGCAGCCAAAAAGTTTACATCTAAAAAACATTTTATACAATCACTAGTGGGAAATTTGAAGAGCTTCTTTCCAAAAAGTTATTTTAAAAGGAGATTTTCTCGCGCCCCCCCCAAAGTTTATGGCAGTTTTAAACAATTCTTAAGTCAAACAGCTCCTTGAGAAATTTGAGAAAAAGAATTGGCAGCTTAAAAAATGACTTTTTGGAACAAATTCTGTTCGCTTCATTAGACACATAGCCACTTGCCACCCACACACCAGATGACGTGTAGTTCTCTCTGTTTACACTGTAATTGCAAGTGGTGAGATTAGTGTAAGTAATCCTATCGCAGGGTATTGTTAAGTGTTGTGGAGCACCAGTTGTCTCTCGATTGGTAGAAATAGGTATATTACAGTATTCACACTTGTCCTAACTGTACTTTAACTAAAACACACCAATTCACTGAACAACCCTTATGTGGTAACATTTTGTCATTACAAGTCAAGCAACATTTATGGGACAAGACATTCCCATTCCTCAAACCTTGGAGCTCATCGTCTTTCAGGCTGCTTTCCCAGTATCCATTCGAATGCAAACACAGAACTGAAATTTACAGTCATCTATGTCATAAAACAATTAATATACTGCTCTATAAAGTAAATTCAATTATTAGACACATCTAACGATCTTGCATAGATACAGAGCACTCAATATATTCATTTACTTATGTTCCTAGTACCCAGTGAAACTTAATTGGGTACAGCTGCCACAGAGATTTCAGCTAGATATCCAAACAATTAACACTGTGATGTAAAAATAGATAAATTACTGTCCATAAAATAAATGTAATTACTAATGGACAAAAAGCAATGAACTGCAGAGTGCATTCAGTCCAAATAGGATTCTGCAATGTGCATTTCCTGCAAATATGCCTGTAACTATTAAATATATATGATCTTTAAAAACATTTTCAAATTACTAACTCCATAGACAAGTTTATCTTCTTCCCCAAAGCACTATGTATTTAATTGAGCCCTTGGGTTTGCAATCACTTTTAATTTATTACTGGTATGTAAAACCAACATACTTCACCAGTGGACAAATGCTTTAAAATGAAATCTACTCATCCACAAAGCTGATTTAGTTTATTTATTGTGGAAATTAAAGTAACGTGGAAATGTGTAAATCGCATCGCTCAACATTTTAAATGAGTCTGAGCAAAGAAGCCTTTTAGAATTATTAGAGGCAACAGTTTTGCTTTGGCTAAAGAGCTGGACATGACAATCTCTCAATCTTTTCCTGCCATAATTCCCATTTACCAAACTTTATGGCCTTACTGAGTCTTAGTTCATTTAAACTTTTCCTGGGGCAAAAGTCCCTTTAACTTCAATGAGCATTTTATTTGAAGAGACAGTTGAAATACTTCAAGACTTGGCTCTGCAAGCCTAGGAATAACATCTTTTTCATCTCTATTCTATTCATTCAGGATCAGGTGAGATTCAGGAATTCCCAGAGCATACAAGCTCTCCAAGTCTCTCTTGCTTTTGTGCCAGCAGAAGATAGAAATCAATAATAGTAAAATAATGATGAGGCGCTACATTTCAGTAATAAAGTGTGGTGGTGAATAAGTCCACCTGATTCTTCAGTATTACCTTTTCCCCTGCAGACTCTGGTATATACATGTCTCCAAGGTTATAGGTCAAACCCCACTACTGGAACGTACTCTCTTCCTCATTGATTTTGAGGAGTAACTGGTACTCATAAGCTTAATGAGAAGTGAGCTGGCAGGCGTATTTTGGACTCTGAAGGCTTGACTGGCCCTCTCCCAGACATTGGAAGCAGTTTCTTTGAACATCTATAACAGGATGGAAAGCAGTCGACAAGAGACTGTTGTTTGAGTGGGAATTAATCTAAGCCTAACTACACTGGCACAGTGAGCAGCATGGCTAGAAAGTGGGAGAGGATATTGCCTCCCTTGAAAGCACAGCTTTTCATGTCTAGTAACAGCAAGCTGATACCAGTGTAAAAAAGATTGACCCCAAACTTTACCAGCCCACACCAACATTTATTGCCCAGAAGTGCTGACAATTGAAACTGGGAGAAGAAAGAAGGGGAACTGCTCTACTGGAACTGTCTTATTTTCAGTAACATCTTTCTCATCTTTAACAACAAAGCAAAGCTATTCCCAAAATATTCTTTTCCCTTCTTTGATCCTACCTTCCTTTCCGACTTTGGGCTCTTCAACATCAATCACAGAGAAAGCACATTGGACGCATTTCCCAGAAAATTCCCTTACCATCCACCCCTGGTCAGAAAAGGCTGTAGAAAACAAATCCTTCCCCAGGAAGCAAATTTGGTACAAGTCAATAATACAATTTACACCTTGGAGTTGTATTCTTTTAGTTCCTGTACTGACAGCACCAGTGAGGGTGTCACAAATGCATACTGACCCTCCAACTGGCACAGAGGACACGCTGACAAAGTGTTCAAATGAGGTCCAGCACCAGGGCACTGCTGGGTGCAGCTCTGAAAGCTGAGCTGTTATGTTCCTTCAGGAAGAGTAGCAGGCACCTTTCACTTCTGACTTGTCACTATCTTTAGCCCCTGCCTCTCACCCCAAGCAAATGAGGACACCTTTGATTTACGTTATCTTCTAACTGGTTTGTCCCATACAGAAATTTCTCTATGCTAAAACCTCATACCCAAGGCAGCTCCAAACCATCAGGCCCATTAGTTTTTCAGCCTTACCATCATTGCGGAGTAAGTGTAGGGGTAATGGTAGGCCAGATAGCAGACATCATCTTTGTGAGGGAACTTGACGGTGAAGGAGAGCGTGTAGTAGCATTTTCCTCTCATGCCTCCTCCTGCAGCTGTACTGCAGGAGTAGTGGTTTCTGGAGAAAGAAAAAGAGAGAAGTAGATGGTTATCACTTCCAAATGCCCATCTGGAGCAGCCATGAAAAAAGCTAAGCATTCAGATTTGCAGGTTATGAGCAACCCCAAAAATCCTTTCTTTTGGATATCTCCTTCTCAAAGACTTGAGACTCTCCCTGTCGGGGATCAGAAAGGACCAGTTGTTCCCTAAGAGATGGAGAGCTGATCTTCATATGGAAGCCACCAGAGCTTCCAGGGCCAGCCAGGGGTCACCTCCTGCAGTACCTGAGCAAGACATGCCCAGGGATGGCAGACAGGTCCAGCAACAAGTTCAGCCATGCAACCAGGTCACCAGACAAATTTGTGGTTAGGAAGCAGCTCTGGGTCAAGCCAGGAGGTTTCTCCATGGGTCCAGACCACCAAAGTTGGTAGCAACGCAGAGACAGAGCAGTGACTCAGTGGGAGCCTGTAGAGACCCAGATGACAAGAAGTTGCCTCAAATATTTGCTGAAGAAGTGTTGTAAGGACAAGGATGAACAGGCTGCAGTCTGATAGGAGCAGCCTGGCCCCTCTGCAGCCCCAGCGGCGCTGCGGGGAGACCGGACGCCTCAGTGGGACAGTGTTTCCCTAGGCCAGCTTCCTTGCTTTGCAGGACCACAGATCTATGCTAGGATTCTGTCGCCCAGTGCTCCAGGGTGGCCACTACCCCCCAACACTTTTCCAGAAAAAAACTGCTCATCACACTGAATTTACCTGAGGCACAGGAAGGTGGGTTAGGGAGGAGACTGGCCAGCTCTATAAACTCAGAGGAGGGGTCGCCCCGAGGTGCCCCCAGGACCTGGGCTGCCATTTTGTCAGCAGGACTAACAGTGGACCAGGGACAGTTGATAACTCCCTCTCTCACCCTATTTTTTGTTTTCTCTGTTCTCTCCCCCCCTCTACCTCATTTTTCCAAATGGCAGCTTAACAACATGATACAAGGCTCACATTCATTAGATGGCTTGGTTAATAAATATTAATGGTTGTTTGGACTCCTCTGGTGTCATTTCACCTTAATTCTGACATCAGAAATCTGCAAACCTGAGTTGCCCCAACCTTGGGACAGGACAGAGCTGATACAGGGATTGGGTGGCCAGGAGAAAGCTTAAATAGAGCTCCTGGCCCATGAGCAGAAGGCATGGGTGGAGGCCCTGGGTGAAGTTGGTGAGGGCCATCAAGGTCTACTAGTCCCCTTGACACTCCTTTCACTAAAACTACAAAATTTTAAAGTGACTTTCTCAATCTAATCCCAGGCCCAGATCTCCTGCAGGAGACTTAAGTCTGATACAAAGATGACTTTGGGCTGAGGAAGAAAGTTTTCTTTCAGCAGAGATGAAGAGACAATTCATGCACTTCAGGGAGAAGCCTTACAGCAAATCGCATCCATAAATACATTTCAAACAATATTTTTCCCACATTGCACCAATTATGCTGTTGCCGAACCTCCTGATTCTGAAGGACTCTGAGGTTTCTTTGACAAATGTTATCATCAATGTTGCATTAAAATGCAAAATAGAAGAGGCAACCAAAAGATGCAATTTCAGCTCCTGAAATTTACAATACTAGTTTATTTTGCTGCTGTTCATTTTTATTCAAAGGGGTGGAAAGAAAAGATAATTATTCTTGTCAAATTCTCAAAATAATCAGCTCTTTTTCATAAGGAAGACATATACAATGCTGCTGGGTTTTCACCTGAATTTAATAGTTGGGAACATGTGGGGTGAGTGATACTGACTGGATCAATAGATAGTACAGGAACACCGAGTCACAGTGCCAAACTGAAAAGCCTATGATTTTATTCTCAGCTGAACCCTTCACCTCAAAATTGCTTTTGCAAATAAACCACCTTAATAGTGGACAAAGACTCAGAAAAAAAAAAAAAAAGGTAATGAACCCACAAATATAGAAACATCTACTTAGCTATTATATATATATTTCAGTGGATCAAGGGATTTGAGTCCTTTTTGTTGTTGTTGTTGTCAGGACAATGACATTTAATTTAGTTCCTGTTAATTTTGACAGTGAAGGATAATTAATAGCCACTTCTTGTATAATACATAAGGAAAACTCATCTCCCTAGTCCCTATTATATTCGTTGTCACTTGGACAGCTAGATGACCCTATTCATAAAGAACTGTCATAAAGTGCTGAGATCTTCTGAGTCCTCTCCTCCAAATTCATATTTGTAGTTAGATGCGTGGGAGGAAGCAGGTCGTTGCAGGCAAATACTGCCCAAATATCTTACATACACATTATTGCCACCTGTCCCTAATGCTCCAGTAAAGGCTTTTTCCTCTGTGGTCTTTAAAAAAAAAAAAAGTCTCTCCTGTCTAAAATGGCCACTTAACCCAGAGGTTTTGCAGCACCAGACACCTCTTACCTTGATGCTACCCTAGTGGTCAATGGTCCTTACTCCTGACAGTACTTAGATCTCATGATCCTGAGGGTACTGATGCATAACGCTCTCACTGCACTTTTTAGCAGTACATTTCATTCTTGTCTTGAGCACCTCTACTGTTCCAGCACACTGCCTGCACAGAACAGATATTTCCAGACCTTTGACACCTGATTCAATCTATGGAAACTATCTGGTAGTAACAGGAAGTTTACAAGTGGCTCTGTGAGGCTTCAATATTCTTCACTTATGTATTAAATACAAAACCCACCTGTATGCAAGCAGTGTAAATGATCATGTATTCCTACTGCATATAATCTGGTCTTCTCACAACCCATGATACAATGCAGTAGCTCTGAATCTTTTTTAAAAAAACACCAAAACCTAAAAAAAATAACATTTTTCCTCTTTGCCTCCCTCTCCTTCTACTGCTGTCACCCCAAGATGGCTCTGTTGCCTCCTTGTTCTTCCATCAGGTTGAGAGTTTTTCTTCCTCACCCCTTTTTCATCACAACAATCTACCATACCAGCGTGAAGCTCAAATTAACAAGCAAGCAAGAGGGAAGGAAAAAAAGACCCTGGCAACATCTGGTCCTCGCTGCCTTATTTGTGTTCTCTTTCAAAAAATGTTCAAAGTTTCACATGCCGTCTAGAAACTAATACACTGATTATTGGAAAGAAAGTAAGAGACCCAAGTGTGGGTTTTTTAATCAGTATTCAAGCTGTATCTGCTGTGCTTTTCAATCACTTTGTAACAGTGAAATCCTTTTGCTTTCTGTTCTCCTTCAGAAATAATATATAGGTAGTATATTTCTAGCATAACTGTGATGGAAAGTTAATTAATAATAATTATAATACTACTTATTACTTACTCTGTGCGATAGTTTTTTGAGCTTAAGACCTTTACATATATTATCTAATTAAAAGTTGCTTCCCATTTATCCACCACCCAAAGAATGGGAATAGATAAGTGACTCTAATTTTCTATCTTTTATACATGGGGAAACTGAGCCTCAGACAGGTGAAGCCACTTGGTTAGTGATACAGGCAGGCCATAAAGGAGCTGGATTGTAACTCAGGAATTTAAAAAGCACCAAGTGATACAAGAAAAATATCTCCTGGTCAGCTCCTCTTTAGGCTTCCTGTCTGCAGCATTTACAAAGCATGGTAGGTGATGGAAGATGGCATTGCATCAGCTTAGACCAAGATGGCCGAAGAAAATAGCAATATCCTAGATTTCCAGGCCATTTCAAAATGAAGTCCAAATAGAGAGTAAATTATTATCACTTCTAATCTGCCGATGCAGTCCCTTTGTCCAAAATCCTTCAGCCACCTGGAGTCTGATGTCCCCGTCTTATGCACCCTGATGTTCTTACATCTTTAAGTGTGGCTGCTACATATGGTATGCTTTACTAACATCCTGGTTCATGCCATAAAAAACACCACCATATTTACCAATTTACAGAGCGTGGCTGTTATTTTAGGGTCTGCCACATTTGAAACTGGAAAATGCCCAACGTGACTTCCTTTTCAAGGACCAAATCCATGTTAAAGTATTTTTGTTCTCAAGATTGCAGGCGGAATCCCGGTCAAAGCAGAATATTCCCACAGCCGTCTTGGTATAAAGGTCTTCAGTTGTCAGACTGAGACTGTCAGACTCACTGGTGTCTCAGCCCTCTCTTGTAGATATCATTAGAACTGAGAGGCAGCCTGCTAATGCTATGATGATGATTTCATCTAATGTGATTATAAAGATGCTGAAGAGAAAAGACCTAGTTCTGACACCGCTCTGATCACCAAACAGCCAAGTCTTTAGTGGTGAGCTGAGAACAAAACACTCCATGTACCTCATTACGATCTGTGAACTGACTATTGTCTGGAAAAGCTGGAGGTTAGATAATATGCTTAGAATGAGCCATGAAACCAAAGGCATAAGCACATTGTCACCAATTCAGCATGCTGCCATTGTTCCTTAAATAATTTGCTGGAAAGGAATATTATTCAGCGCATAAAAGCTGCCAAGACAGCAAGTGAATTAGATGATTTATAGTAACTGCAACTCTGTTTATCATGGGTGTATCCTGTCACTTCACAGAGGCAATAAAACAGAGCAGAAGTGTCACTCAGGATCCTTTTGACAAGAGCACTGCTAATATTCTCTGGAACATAAAAACCCTCGTGAGACGTGTGGGAAAGGTATGCGATGACAGAGCTGTGCCCCAACATTCATCTTTATGAGTGAACTATCCCACCTTCAGGGAAGATGAATGTCAGCAAAGATCAGCCAACGTGTATCACCCAGACATCTTGCGATTGTGCTTTTCCTCCCACTGTCCTTCAGCTCAGAGATTGCTCCCAGTTAGTCCTGCTGCGAAAGCAATTAAGGGCATCTTTGAATTTCTCCTTATTTTTTCCCACATTTGTGAATAACTCCTGGTAAAAGTAACTAGGTGAGGTTCCCTTCAAAGTGTGCCAATCTCAGCCCAGGATACCTGTGACCAGGGCAAACGGAAATGAAGCGAGCTTTTTCCCCAAAATACAAGCAGCATGATATCACTACAGCAATCCCAGCTCCTCCTATTCTGA